CATTCCCGGGATCCGAAGAACGAACCCAACCCCGAGAGGTGTGTCTCTCCGGTCTCACGGCACATTCGAGGGGTTCTTCTTGCCCCCAGCTCTGCTTGCTCGGCTTTCTCTTTGCTGTGCAACGTGCCAGAGCAGCAGCCCTCTCCTCCTCCCTTGCTGACCTCTCTGCTCCCTGTGCTGCAAACTGCCCCCTATGAGCACAGGTCTTTTGCCACAGACCTTTTCCCCAACATCTCACTATGACATGAAAGTCTCTCTCGTCTTCTTTTTTTTTTTTTTTGTTTTGTTTGGTTTCCTTAAACGTAGCAACTTAAGCTCCGAGCAATTCTTTCCATCTTGTCTTTGGTGTTTAAATCCTGTGTTCTAGCACAGAGCTTGAAAACCAGCTGTGCAACTTAAAAAGTGTGGCTTTTTTTTCCTGTCTAAAATCTGAGCCCATAGGCATGCCTTTACTCAGTGCTCAGGCTGGCCAAACCTGGGAATTTATGGGACCTGTACTGGTATTGAGGTTCTTAACACACTGGAGATGCTGCCTGAGAGGCTATAAAATGGCAGGTGAAGTTCGTGTTGTTTAAACATTTATTTTTCTTTTCTTTCTTTGTTCCTCCTCCTCCCACAGGTTTGACCGAATTGCTCACACAAGAGAGACAATGAACTCTGATGGCTTAAATACACTATCATACAAGGTGTTAAGAACTGACAAGTACCCTCTGTATACAAAGATCACAGTGGATATTGGCTCGCCAAAAAGCTAACATCACCTACACGAGAGACCTTGCCTGTGTTGTCCAGGACATCTGGCCTCGGTGATGCTTTATATCTGCTGGTTTTGTAAAAGTTGCAATGAACACCAAAAAAGGCCTCTTTTGGCATGCCAAAGCATCCTCAGATTGGTTGGACAAGTGCTTTTTTCTTTCTGTTTGTTTTTTTTTGTTTGTTTGTTTTTTGGTGTTTTGTTTTGTTTTGTTTGTTTTTTATTCCAAACCTGACTTTACACAACTTTCTAGCTCTCCATTGTTTTATAAGTCCAAAAGCTGTACATAAGAGTTGTACATACTTATGTTGCCAGAAAATGTTGGAATCTGCTCTATTTGTTGCAGTGCTCCCAATGTTGAGTTAATTGCTTGACTCAAATTTTACTGATTACAACTGTGATGCATCAGCAATTGCTGCCCATGATATTTTGATATTTTAAATGAGGTGTATGAAAACATTCCTTTTAATTGATTCGTGGTTTTACTTTATGAAGGACTGTAAAATGCTGCTAAAATTCTACAAGTTTACGCTTTGCCTTAGATAATTTTAATTAAGACAATATCATATACTTTTTTTCTGATAGTGACCAAAACAAACATCTCTGTGTGCAGAGCAAGTGATGAACAATCAAGTCTGGTTTCAATGAATGTCATTATTTCTTTTGATCTCAAAGGAGGCTTTGAGTGAGTTGAGCCAGAGTTTGCCAGAATTTGCCAGTGAGCTCTCTGCACAGGGTGTGAGCTACACAGATGGCATCTGCAAAAAGTGCTGGCTTCAGATAACCTCACTTCTGGATGTGGTAGTGGCTTTTTGCTGCAACACAACACTACCTGAGTTGTTTTGGGTTTTTTTTGGTCACGTGGAGGGTGGTGGTTTTGGGTTCTTTTTTTTTCCAGAAATAAAGATTAATGAATTTAATTGCATGATGAGATTAAGGCCTTAAAATTTGCTGGCTCTTGTTAACAGTGGTCAGAAGTTACCACACTGTTTAAACATTGTCTGAAGCCTCCTAAAACTGATTCTTTTTATTGCGAGGTCACGCATAAATGAAACTTGAATTCACTTATTACTTTTGTTGTTGTTGTCGTTTTAATAACTTTTAAAAGTAATTTGTGTATCATAAGCAGTATATTTAATGCCAAATTAAACTAGGGTGCATCGTAACAGGATATGATTCAAGGCCTCCTTTATCTTCAGACTAGTGGGCTTCTTACGTGCGTCATTATATACAAGCTATGTATTACACGTATGTATTACTCTGCTTATTTGTCCATGAATCTGCGGTGCAGAGATACTCACAGCAGGGCTGACATCCAGTCAAATTTCTCTTTGCCTATTACAACCTGTGTGCTCTGTCTGGAAACTCCTTTCTGATTTTCTCAGGCTTTGAGGGACGTGCACGACTTGGAGCACTGCTTGTTGTCAGTGCACCAGGGCACTGCCTGTACAAACACCCTGCTTTTCCTTCCTGTGACGGTATGAAAGCCTCAAGTGCTGACACTCTCGGGATTGGCTTAAGTAATTTACAGCTCCCGGCCAGAACCGAGAACTGAATTCCTTCTGGCGAGCACTTTACCACCAGCTTTGGCCACAGCAATTTGCACTTCCATGGCCTGTGCTGAAGGCTGTTGAAATCAGGGACGCTCCTTGTATTGGGGATCATCTTCAGCACTGCCTCTTTTTTTTTTTTTCCTCTTTTTTCCTTTTTTTTTTTTTTTTTTTTTCTGTGTGTGTGTGTGTTCTGTTATTTTGTTGGGGTTTTTCTGGTTGGTTGGTTGGGTTTTTTTGAGAGCCGAAGGTTTTGCTGAACCCTTGCACTGCAGGGGTGGGATCCTGCAGGGACGGGGGCACAGTGCATTTCTCCTTAGGCCAGCTGTGGCTCGAAGTGTTCACGGAGACTTTAACGACTACGAGACACCCAGCTCGGTCTCACGTTGAAAAAGCGTTCACACTCTTTGTGTAAAAGCTATTGCTGGCCAGACTTGCTGCTTCTGTCATGATGGGAGCTGAGCTTGCATGGAGCAGGAGCAAAGTGCAAAGAAGCAAGGTCGTGTTGAAGACACACTGTGCTTGTTGATGCATTTAAAAATCACACCTTTTTGGCAGGTTAGGCTCCAGCTCTTGCAGATACAATGGGGTATAGGAAGAGGATGTGTTACAGAAGTCAGGTCAAATGTCTACCTGTAAAAAAATAGAAATAAAAATAGGTGTAGCCCTATCTGCATCACAAATGGGAGATGCAGGCAAGGGCTGTTTTTTTGTTTGGTGGGGTTTTGTGTGTTGGTTTTTTTGTGTTTTTGGGTTTTTTTTGGTGTTGTGGTTGGTTTTTTTGTGTGTTGTTTGTTTTTTTTAAACCCAAAGGTGCCTTAGAAGCAGGGCCCTGCTCCCACAGGTGGCAGATCTGCATCAAAACTCCTCAAGGGTCCACTGTAAATCCCAGGTCTCTGCAGGGGGCACTTCCATTTTGTGCTCAGCCTCCTTCAAGTTGGAGAGTCGGGACCTTCAGCTGTGCTGGTGACTGTCTGCTAACAGGCTATGTGAAGGGCTTCCTGTTGTAATTTGAGAGGTCGGTTTGGGGCGGGGTTTTTCCTTAGGATTCTCTGAAGATTAGGAAGTTAGTTTAGCAACCCGTTTCACTGGCTGCCGGAGTCAATTAATATAATGGAGGTGGCCTGAGCACTTGTTTCTGGATGTTGCAATCAGAGGTTTCTACATACGTCCTTTGAAAGGGGAGAGAAATAGAAACTGAAAAAAACAGGAAACCTGAAAACCATTTTCAGCAGCAAGACACTAGTGGTGCAAGGAACTGTCACTTAGTTTCTCTCCTGCTGCTAAAGCCACAAGCCCTGTAAAAGCTGAAGCTGCCTTGGGTTGCTTGTTTCACCCTTTGGTGCTGACCTGTGATTTCCAGATCAAATTTTCCCTGTGTAAACCGTATCAGACTCTTGACTCAACCTGGCCATGAAATTTCTCTGCCTGGGATTTTTGGCCACCTTTTCTACAAATGCACATGTTGCACAGAGGTGAAGTCTGCCTGTGACCTGTGGTGGGTGGCGTTTTATCCTCTTTTGTACTGGTAGCAACATTCAAGGTGATACTGTGTGTAACTGTTGAAACCCAGAACAACTAGCTGCACAGGAACTGCTGGGTTAATTTGGGATTGCCATTTGCTTGTTAGGATAAGGGAGGGTCCTGGCATGCAGCTTTTCCCTGGGATGTTACTTATGTATTGAACTGCTTATGGATTTTCTGTAGATGGTTTTGCTTTTGCATTTTTATCATTTATATATATCAATGGATGTATAATCCAGTGTTCCTACTTTGCTATCAATGTCAAATAAAGTATTTTCATTTACGACATCTGGCAGCATTAATCTGAATTACCACTCTGGCTGGGTGGGTTTCTGGGTGATGGGGTGGACTGAGTCATGCTTTAGCTATCTTGTGTTAACTTTATACAACTTTCCCCTCCTCTGAATAACCCCCAAGTGAATTTCTCTCTCTGCACAGCAAAATTTTTACCAGCATTAGAGGAACTTCCAAGAGTCCCCAGATGACACAGAAAACCATTGGGTGGTTTGTTTACCTTTGGGTAGGGAGACACTATGCAAATCCCTCCTGAAACCATGCAGAGGACACAAGCTCTCACCTAGGCTGTTGGCTGCCTGGAGGAAACAGGTCACTGCTTGCTTCTTGGGTGTTTGTGGGTTTGGCTAGTGCATGGAAATGGAGAAGTCACTACTGGGAAACTGGTGCAAAAGTCTGCCTTTGTTCCTTGGCACTTTCTCATGAGAACAGTTTCTATGGAAGAGATCCTTCTGGCTGCAAGACTGTGGCTGAGTCTTGGCAGCTGGTGTGAGGTCCCCAGCCCTCTCCCAGGAGAGATGGGCTTGTTCCCAGCTGGGAGCAGCTACCAGCCTCCAGGGCCTGGGCTGACACAGTGGGCAGGACATCCCCAAGCCTTTACAGTTTTTTGAAGGCATTCTCTGAAGACCATGTTAACTGAGGGCTCTGCAGGAAGATACTGGTCTCTGCCTGCATCGTCCCTCCAGGGCTGGCTGCCAGGACACTGGGGAAAGTGGAGGAACATCATGGAATGGAAGTTGCCAGCAGACCTGAATGCAGCATAGGGCTTGGACAGAGACAGTGTGAGGGAGAGTAGGTGGTCCTTGTGGCATCTTCCATTGGCTTTTGGATCTTGAAAGGTGCTGCACAGGAATGGCAGGCATTTTCTTCTCATGGTGTAATGTTTGTTATCTATGGGCAGAAAAATTCTCTGAGAGGGACCTCCTACTTTCTCCTACTTTTGTCCCCAGAATATTTAGCTTCTGTTCTGGTGGTTGAGGAATGGGCAGGAGTCACATACCTCAGTGGCTGGAAGAAGCCCTGTGTGAAAAGTTTGTCTCTTGCTGAAAGAAGCAGCTGAGAAGTGTCAGTAATATTTCATCCTTCTTTCCTCTGTTTACCAAAGTTTCCCTGGGTCAAATCAGCATGTGGCTTGTAAAGGATCCCTTGACTCTTTTGCTGTGAGCCCGTACCGAGTCTAGCAGAGCTTCCTTCCTGCCTGCAGATCCCACTGCCTGCCACTGACCAGGATGGGTGAGCAGTGGTCTCTGACATTTATCCCATATGTTTACTCTGCTACACCTTCCTGTTCTCCAGCCTATGGGAAAAACAAAACAAAGCAAAAGCAAAAACCAAAACAAAATGAAAAAAAAAAATCCAGCAACCAAAAAAAATAGAGGCTGTTGTTAGAAGGAAGAAAAGGACTGAGACGGAGTTTACCCCTTTCACCACCTTGGAAGGAGTCTGACATGAGAGTATTTACCCTTTGCTCTTGCTCTGTATCTTAGCCCAGCAGTGGATCTGTTCTTACTTACCTGCATCCTGTTTGCAGGATCTGTGTACATTCAAGGATGATGCACCCATATGAGACCTCTTTCCTCTGTCTACCTGAGGCAGCAGCCCAGCTCCTAGAGCCCATTTTCCTTTTCCATCC